TGTTGAAACCTATCAGGAACTGTAGAACTTCTCGAGAACTATTGAAAAAGCCTATTGTTGAATCATTTTCAAGAGATTTTAAAAAAGTGCGATGCTGGAGCTGACATCCGTGTAGCACCTCCATTTTTGTAATGTTAATATAATATGTATTATATGTATTAATATAATATGTATAAATATGTATTTTAATAGAGTCCACGGTGTTCTTCTCTCGTCGGTGCGCTATAAACGCGGAATTGGCAAAATCCAGAAGACTCGCGTGGACGAGGAAAAGTCATTTAGTACGCAGCAGAATCTGCGGTTGATCACTCGAAAACAAGTATAGCTGAAAATATAGTCAGACACTACCGCGCAACATGGGAACACTTTCCGAATGCATCACCAAAATCTCTTTCTAAGCGGCCTCTTTCTAAGTGTTGCTCTGGAATTCAGTTGTAAGTTGTGGAGAATCTCTGCCCACCAGGCTACCCGTTCGTGATCACGTTCAGCTCGGCTACGACGGGATATACATTATCGACAGAGGCGATGATCACAAAATTCTATTTCCGGACTCGCCGCTACGATTTGGCGCCATGTTTTTGGTATCGCCTAAAACCGTAGCGTTGTGCATCTCCCTACTGATCTCTGCTTCGTGAGCATGGTGAAGGCAGAGCGCTCTGGCGTCCCTGATATCGAAGTAAAGTCTGTCAATGTCGTGCGCTATACTGACCGGTGCAACACCTGTGTAAGGAATTGAAAACACGTAATCGACAATCATGCGGGGGCGCAGGAGGGTTTGGAATTTTACGGTGAATTGTTAAGAAGGTCATAACGCACTATCGCGTTCTGGATTAAACATTGCGTGTGGGCGCGACTCGGTTTTGAAAATGATAAGCGGCCTTCAGGTAGCCCTGAAGAATGCCATTGACGTGGTGAGTGGGAAATTCCACTTCTTTGGTGATTCATTTAATTCGTTATTCGTTCATTATCCTGTATTTTTTTATATTTATGCGCGTTTTCTGTTCTCGAGGAAGGCTCTTAAGTGCCTCTCTTGGTTGTGTATCAGAAGATGAAAATTAATGTGATGCTTAGTACAAAGTGATATTCTCGTGTACAAGTCAGTAATCGCGGACTTGTTTTCTTATTGTGTTGTTATCAACGTTTTATTTATTTATTTCCTTCCTTTCACTGTAAGACTCGCATTGTAATTTTATGGCACCGCTTTTCTTATGTTGAATAATTAATTATGTATACTTTCCTCTTGTCAATAAACTATCATATTTTTTTTTATTAAATGTGTTTATGCTTTACTGCCACTTTCCACTATCCTTGGGCCAGTAATGAGAGAAGTACGTAGTATTATGGTTGAATGAATAGTTGTCCATGTAACACAATTACTTGTGTTACAGATAGCTCCACCAGCAACACCCTTGGAGGACTTTACGTATCATTGGAAGCAACTTATGAACTTTTATGTCAATCATTTGAGTGACCGTAAAGCTTCTATTGAAAGCAGTGGTATCCCTCGTCATTTGGATAGACTACTAGAGATATTACTGACAGAGGAAAAAGGGGAAGACAGTCCTGGGCCATGTTTGGAGTACTTATTGCAACATAGACTTTTAGATCTGCTAGCGACATTAGCTGGAGCAGAAACTCCTCCTGGGATGCGACTGGTCTGCCTATCGTTTCTTAGAAAATTACTGGGAAGATCGAAGCATCCTTTGCTACATCATGTATCAGTATATGCACCAGTTCACAGGCTAATAGCGCTTTGCAATGGTCACCTTGCATCCCCTATCGAAGCTGAAGAAATACAATTCCTTCTAACACTATGCTTTCTTGTCTGCAAATATCCTCCTCTAACACGTATTGTGAATGATGCCAGCTCTGTTCACAGAGAGAATAGTGTACCAAAGGAAGATACTGAGAAAATAGATGCTCAACGTATCACCTATGTACCCGCGAGAAAAAGAAACAACTCAAACCCATTGTTTGAACCATTAAATACCCAAGCAGTCATGTTGATAAATCCAAATTTGTTTGCAACAGATAGTGAAGGAAAGTTGTCTCATAGACCTGAAAGATATGCTACGGATAAAAATACTAGTACACAGGACATATTAGACAAGATACCAAAAACAACTAGAAACACATCAACACGGTCTAGTGGATCGATATCGCTTAAGGATGTCGAAAGTATATCGGAGTCATCAAGTCCAGTCTCCCAAAAATTACCACAAGACCCACTCCCAGTTACAAACCAAGTAGTCTCCAATACTAATGATTATGGATCATCTAGTCAAGTACCTGTGTCAATGGCTTCTGCCTCTTACAAAGTAGAAAATAAATTTCAAGATCCTACAAATTTGCGAATTGATTCTGACTTTGCTTCAGATAACAATATGGAATATATGAAAGAGCATAGCAAAAACCACACATTTTTAGAGGTACCACCAGTTACTGAAAATTCCAAATGTTTCCTGGTCGACGCTTTGATAAGCTACTTAAATACTGCCGTTAGTATTTGATGCACTTATTCCTAATGATGTATATAAATTTCTTATTTCGTTGTTATTAAGATGAATTTACTCATTTCTATTTCAGGACAACACAGTGCGAGTAAGAGCATGCGAGGGAATCATGGTTTTGGCATCATTAGATGACTCTGCGTTTGCACATGCTGTTTCACGAAGTGATTTGCCTACAGTTTTATCTAAACGCTTAGAAGCATTGTACAACTCAATTCCCGCTCATGTGGATCCAAATGATGTCGATGAAGTTGACGTTACTTGGGGCTTAGATTCACCAATGTGGACAAATGACAACAAATTTCCTGGATGCAGACAAGTGGCTGCATTCTTCATGTGGTTAGATTACTGCGATCAGCTTATACGAGAAGCTCATTTGGAAGTAGGAGAAGCAATAGCTAAAACTATCACAGTATCATTTTTTGATAAAGTCATAACACCAGCACTGGTTGATCATCATGTAGTATTGATCACAGCTTTATTAACAAAGTGCCTGAAGGAAATTTCATCACCACTCTTAAGTACAGGTAAGCAGTTCTTGAATATTGCTTGAAAAAGATCAAAGAAAAACTTGTAGTTAATTTATTTTAGAAATCAGTCACTGGCTGGTAGGACAACACAGAGACCCTGAACTGCCAAATGTCTGGACTACACCGATTTTGCACAGATTAATAGACAATTGCTGCACCGAGAGCAATGACCTCACCTTGGAGACATTAAAACTATTTGAAGAGATGATAGAGAAACGGAATGAGCATATACTACATTGTCTAGTCTTGACGTACCTGATAACACGTGGATATTATGACAACAGTGCTGCCGACAGTGCAATAGCATCTTGGAGTGACGAAGAGGATGAACGTGAGAGGGAAAAAAAGGGAACAGTAGATTTATCACGGGAGCAAAACCACAGTAGAACTTTAGCACCAACTAATATCCATCGAATCATTAATTGGTAAATATAAACGAGCGTTATTGGTAAGTATAGCACCAGAGTGGTACGTCCTCATAAAACTTTCATAATTTTTCCTGCAGTTTCTTATCCTTGGTGCCACGACAGCTGCAGACAGACTCTGATGTAAATAATTATGAGAGATATATGGCAGACTGGGAAAAACAATATTCGACTGTGCTGACTGATTGCGCTTTACTCGCATGGCCACTGGAGGCTGTAACCATTGACGATTCTGCCAGTTCTGATTCCAGACCAGAAGCTGATCACTGTTCGGCTAGATTTTACATGGGTCCATTTTTAACCATGATATTGGATAAAGTCAGTAACATTCCCAACCAGAGATATGAGATTAACTTGCAGCTAACTGTTGTTATATCAAGATTGGCTCTTTTGCCTCATCCGTATCTACATGAATTTTTACTGAATCCTCTTTTGCCTTTGGCACCTGGTACTAAAAGTTTATTTGCCTGTCTACAAAGGGTCGTTAAGCAACTGGTCTCTGACGTACCAAAGACTCAAGATTACAAGCATATACTGAGGAGTACACGACAGAGATTGCTAGAGAATTGTTCTCAGGAACCGTAAGTGTTTTTTGGAAGGATCAGTTTCGACAGTCTTTTATTGGTTTTATTTGTAATAAAACAAGTTTTTGCTCTCATACTGTTGCAGGGTGAAGGAAAATATTCTTTACGACAGCGTTATTATTACGGAAGAATTTTGTAAGGAGCTCGCGGCAATAGCTTACGTCAAATATCATCGATCCATGTAAAGTTTCTGATTAGTGAAAATACGTAATTCTAGAAATTGACACATTAAGAAAGACGGCCTTAGTAAATAATTGGTAACACGTAAATAATTTAAGGAAGGGATCTTACTTCCTTTTTCTTTTCGTTTGTTTGGTGATTATATTGTAAGATACACCCACGCACTGTTTCTACGATAGGCATATACATATAATGAGCGGGAATAAACTGAAATTTTAGAGCAGCTTAGTCGCACATTTTATTTTCTGTTTGAATAAACGATTACTGAATATGAGTATTCTTTTTTTTTTTCTATTACCTTCGTATTTGATACAGAAGACCCAAATGTTTGTTGGGTATTGAGTTTGTAGGATTTACGCTATATAAGCACTTTTTTTAAAGGGTAGTACTGTAGTCAAGTGTGATGTGGTTAGGGAGCGTAGAATGGAGAATTCAAATACTTTCGGTATATGTACATTAGCAAATCATGTCTTTGAATTATTGACAGGTACAATTAATGTAAATGCGACAGTAATTAAAATAAATAGCGAGAATTTATCAGTAAACGGAGAATTATGTTTCCTAACCAACCTCCAAGCATGGAAAAACTTTTTTACTATTGAAGCTTCAATTTATTCAAAATGCACAAGTATTTTGGAGTATCTTCTACATAGTCGAGGACAAACATTTCAAAGAGGCACAAATGAAGAAATAGCTGAAACTGTAAGGATTGTGTAAAATGACTTGCGGTAACCTATAATAACTTAATATTCCAATATTCGTCTGTTTTAGGTGTTCAGAGAATTAGTAGCAGCTAGTGCTATATGGCATTTAAGAATTGAAAAGTGCACATTACAAAAGGAAAGAGTCTGTGTATTTTTAAACAGGTCGCATGCAATTTCTACTGCGATAACAATGTTTGTCAGTAATAATGTTGACATCTTTAAGAATCAATATTCGGATAAAAGTTTTAGCTTAAAAGTTGAAACCGACAAAGAGTCTGATCTTACAAACGTAAGATTGTGTTTAATCAGAGATGTAGCTGAAAACCTTATGAAACTCCAAGGCTGTAAAATATCTGAGACAAGCAATAATAAATATATTATAACCAGTAAGTCCCAGAGTAAAACTGAAGACAGTTACAACAGATATGTATGTGGTGTTGTAAAAAATTCAGAAGCAAATGCAAAGGAGATCAAACTGACATGGGAATTGTATTTGAAAGAAAAAAAGATAAAGCTTTCAGAGTCATTTAAACAAAAGTGTTCGACTATAAATGAAGAAATTAACTCAGTTGACGACATTAATTCATGTCTTGCGCAAGCTGAAATTGTGTTTGAATTATTGGCTGTGAAACCCAGTCGTACAGTTTTCATTAAATCAAATACAAGTTCTGACAGAAGTGTTTCAAATACGAAAGGTAAATATTCAGTATATCGATGACATCTTTTGACACGTTTTTCTATTTAACTGAAAATATAAGACTTCCACGTGAAGTTCATAATGTACCATGCACATAAAAATATATATGCTACTAAGTCATGATAAATTATTATTGTAGGAGTATCATTCATTTTTTACAATTTAGCAAGAATATCAGCTATTTGGAAAAAATATATTACTATGCAGGCAGCTGGTAGGTATCCTAAGTTAACGGATATAAACAACGTTGACTTTTCTAGTTTGAATCAAGAGGTAAAGTATCAAGAAGAGTGAGAAAAAAGAACTTTGAATAATTTAAAGAAGCATTTCTTTTTTTGTAGGAGGAGTGGGAACTCGTTTACAATTTTATTATCGGGTATCCTGATATGATAAGAAGTTGTATACGATACGAGCCAGATTTCGAGTTATATCCGCAAACCTTATGTCACTTTCTAGGTCGACTTTGTCAAAAATTTAGTGCGTATTATCGCAGGATCCGTGTTTTAACGGTAAGATTACATTAATAAATAATATAAATGAATATTATAAAATAACGTACGTCTGAGATTTTAATCAGTAAAATCAATGAAATCATACAGGAAGGGGGCAATCACCAAGTGCCAGCAATGACGGCGAGATTATATCTGTTAAAAGCGTTGGATGATATTCTGTTAGGAGCGCTCAAGGTCTTACATATACGCTCAGTACCGAGTGGATTCTACATGTAGATGCATTGTGAGACATAACTCTGATAAACGGAGGCTCTGATAAGGTAAACCCTAAACAACATTCAAAATCTGACCAATTTCAATATAATACGTGAAATATTAACGTAATAAGCAATAAACGAATTTCGGACAATCATATCACTATACTTCTATGATCCCATGCTCAAAATTCAAAATAACATTCTGTGTACGAGACGATGATAAATACGATGATAAAAACCATTAGGCAAATTTAATCACAATCATCTTTCAATACACAAATAATTTAAAATAATTGCAGAATTTCTTTTCCAATACTAATAACTGATATTAAATAATCACCTCATATAATTTTAATATTCCAGTCACTAAGTAAGATTTTATAATTTGACTTAAAGTCAGAGCATATTACATTTTATGTGTCATAAACAATTTCTCACTCTTATAAAAGCAAGTGCATTTTTACCGTACACAAAGATGGCGTCTCAATTGAAATTTTTCTGGATTCTACTAGCATCATTCCGTAAGACTTTCCAGTAAGAAAGTTAACTCCAAAGTTGGAGTGGAGAAACTCAATACCCCTACCCCTAGTGTATCCACAAGATAATATACAATTCTGTCTCGAGTACCGAGAGTGCACCGCTCTTCCCGAAGTCCTTTCCACGAGATTGAATTTTCGAGGAAGCTTCTCTACGTAACACGCGCGTATCCCCTTTGCCCATGGATTTGAAACTACTTCATTTCGCGGCTACCATTCACAGTAGCTCCGTCGGTAATTTTCTATTCTACTTTCGTCTTTTCGCGAACTGCACCTACGGGAGTAAAATGAAATGCAATTCCTCCCGTTGTCTACCAAATTAAGATAAGTATATAGAGCAGCAGCAGCAGTGGATTAAAGTTGCCTCGTAAAATATTTCGCACAAAACAACTTTAAAGCACACGCATTTAAATTCCTTCCCTACCTGTAAACAAAAGGCAAACGATCGACGATACATGGTTTACGTAAGGATTTTATCATCTAAAATTCCAACCAATAAAGGCCACCTGAAGGTGCGTATACATATATACGTATACTATACTATACATACATACATACATATGTAAAGTCATTGACCTATCTTTTTGAAGTATATTTAAATACACGGCCACGTAATTATATTGCATAGCAACATACAAGTTAGCAGATGGTAAAGACATACCATTAAATAATATCAATCAAACGTAATCATTATTAAGGAAATCCTTCCAAATTGATAGGAACTTTAAAAATTCATTATCTTTCATACTTTAATCTCAAGATATATCATTTTCTATTTGACGCAACAAGATTAACATAAAATAGATAATAACGGAAGATTTTACCTAATCTTAAAAGAAAATGCTAGCATGACAGATTTCAGTATATGTCGACGCACTTCTATGATCACAATCACGAGTTTATAAATATTTCTCGAAAATAGAATTGATGGTGTCAGTAAAACGTTTGGTAACCCATACAGTTTAATTCAGGGTCGAAGTACTTGTTTCATTTATAAAAGCATAGGGTCTAAAGGGTTGCTAGCCACTAAACCGACGCGAACGGGTAACCAGCTGTTTGTTTTGTTTTCGGGCATGAGATTCACGTGACACAGCGACTCGCCACCAGTACGGTGCGGTACGTACCTCAGTATAGTGGTACTGTGTCGAGGTCGCGGATTGGCCGCGCGAGTGCACTCGCGCACTGTCCTACCAATCGGGTGGCGTATAAGAGACGACGCCTGGTGCTTCTACGATGCAGAGACGTTTGACATCGATAAATGCGTGAGAGTGCTCGCGAAGTGCGGAGGTGTCAGGCTGTCGCTTGTTCGTCGGCTCGTCGTCGTCGGCTCGTCGGCAGGTCGTCGTCGTCGTCGTCGGTGGTGGTGGTGGTGGTGATGGTGATGGTCGGTTGTTATTCTGGTTGTATTTACCTACATAGTGCACGGTGCATCGTGCGTGCGCGCCCCTTGTGTCCCGTGTCCTGTACCAGTGCTAGTTTTTAAATTTGTTTCTTCCACCAATGTTTCTCTCGCTACTCCCAATGTACACGTCATTCAAATTGGCTTTCATTATAGATAATCATTAAAAATAAAAAATCGCACGGTTCCATGCAGACGAGTGCATAAGTCTAAAACAAAATCTTCGGTCAACCTTATTCTCACTGTCTTTGCTACGATAAGAAAACACACGCTGTAAAATTCTGACAGGACGCACTATATATTTATTCACAACAAATTCGTTTCGACATAAACAGTACAGGATTTACAGGGCCACGTATTCTATCCCACCATCTCGATCTGCCTGCTAGCTGTCAGGCTGCTGCCCGCTTCTCGGGAGTCCTCTATCTCTCTTTTCTTCTATCCTCTCTCTCTCTCTCTATCTCTTCTATACTAGTCTGACATATACACGCTCGCCGCGACGTAACTTCACTAGCACACAGTATTACTTCCTGGCGAGGGGTAGGCGTAAAAAGAGGATACGTGCAGGGACGTGCGCGTGTTCTTGAGTGTGCTTAGAATTTGGACTCAATTTATTTTTAGTCAGGAAGAACGTGAAGACTGAGTGGAAAAGAGTACCTGTTATACAGTGACGTTTTTTCAATTGATTCTACTCGAGGGAATTATAAAAGCGAAGGAAGGAGAGAGTAGAGTGTACTCGGTGATGATGGTCACGCGCGTATGACGCGAGCTTGACGTAAGAACGGTCGGGTTGTTTTCTTTTTTCTATTCACTCGCTGTCTCAAGAGTCTTTCTTTCATCAGGTAGAACATAACGAACGAGTTTTGTAATTACCGGGACAACGCCAATTTGCAACGTGAGAAATAGTGCGCACCGTCTCCTCCTACGGTCCTAGATGGGGACAAAGAGAGCAGCACGGTGTCATGACGACGCTGCTCGCAATTGCCGCCGTCAGTCCGTAGCGCGTGCTCGCGGGCAGTGATGGCCAGACGCGTTTCTCTACTAGAGAACCCGAGAGGAAATATCCGTCGATTTGTTATGAGGAGGTAGAGAGAGGTGACTAGTGAAATATTTTAAAGGATTTCGTGGAAGATACAAGTTACGGACGATTGTTTTCTCACTTCTCACAATTAATTATACATTTATATCCCTTATGTGTTAGGATATCGCGCGGGTTTGTCATTTTCATTGTGCTTTCACGCAGGTACAAGACACTCGTGTGACACGCACTACTCCCCTTGTTGACGTGTTACCATAATTTAATATTTCACAAGTGACTTTCTTGTGCAGCAAATACAAAGGGCAGGAAAGAGACGCGACTAAGCGAAACTAAACTGTTGTTTATTTTTGACGGAACCTACCAACGACGATCAGTGCTTGATTGATTTCATATAGTTTCTGTACTTTTTCCTGCCTTTTGTCAGGAGTCACGCGTACTACGAGCGTCCCTTTAAATCCTCATATCGTACCACCAAAAACGCTTTCCTTTTTTTTCTGTCGATAGGGAGTAGCAGTATTGCTTCGACTGTAGTTTCGTCGCGTTTAGTGTACGCGTGTTCGTAATACCAGACTTGAGAAGTTTTGACGCACGTGGTGGAAGGACATGAGAAGTTGAGAAACCAAGAGAAACCTAAAAAATGAGTGACAAGAGATAGAGCGTGAGGAAGAGGAACGCGACACGCTAAATGGACAGAGATAGAAAGCAGATGAAAGTAGTGCACAGTGACGAGTGGCAAGAAGAGTAAGGAAGTGAAAGTAAGAACGAAGAAGGAAAAAGGAAGGGAAAGAAGAAAGATTGTGAGAATCGTCTGAAGGAGGGTAGAAGTGAAGCAAAGAAGGAAGAGAAGAAATATAACAAAAAAAGAAAGTAAAGAAGACGGGCCTTGTTAATCGTGTGCGATTTTACGAGTCCTCTTTTTCTTCTTCTTCCTCTTACCTTGTCTTTGCCCGAAGTTGGCTTCCGCTTGTTTCAATTTTTCTGTGCCCGTCCTCTGTCTCGCACGAGCTGGATCAGTAACCAGTATCCGCCATCCGTAAGTGCTACAGTGCTCGCGTTTCCAACAGTGTTTTTATCATCATCGGCTCCTTATATTGCGCGTATTAATTTCCGTGTCAATAATTCGTCACGTTTTTGACGGGACCGATTGAGAGTGGTTACGTCCTGGGAATGAAGACGTACCGTTGCGCATGCAGTGCCGGATCGTTTCGCGCTTTCAAGGAGCACTAAACGACACGAAAATTACACCAAATCAGGAAAATATGAGCATTGCTGCCCTCCTGCAGGCCGCCGAGTACATTGAACGAAGGGAAAGGGGTAAGTGTCACAGCAACGGCGTTGCATATTGATAACCATATTTTTTTCATGATAAGTCTGCGTCATATCGGGTGTGCAGTGCTCCCTCCCTCCCCCATTTCTCTCTGCGTATACTTATTGCGTACACTGCCTGCAGGATCCTGATAAAGTTCCATATCCTTCCTGCTTAACGTTGCGGTCATTACGTAATCTAAAACCTAAAATAAGAAATCTCTTGTCCGTCTGACCCAAGAAAAGACCAGTCGTGCTTTTGTATTTTGTTTTCCTCCCACATCCCTAGATATTATTCGTAAACAGTACGACGTGACTTTTAAAGGCGTACACCAGGAACCAAGCGTGCCGTCCCCATCTTCTTCGGAGCTTTGCGTATACATTATATTCGCTTGGATGTAGGTACGCGTGGATGGTAACGTGTCCCTATTTGCGCGACCGTCGTTTTATTGTTACGTGGTTCAGGCCCCTCTCCGTTCCCGTCGCGAACCTCCGAATGATCTCATTCCACTTATCAGTGTGTCGTGTCGCGTTAAATATGCGTATACATGTGTGAATATTATACGTGACGATGACCTGCGACGTTTTCCTCTTGTTGCCTTCGACATTTCCAACTCCATTTGCTTTGTTTTGTCTATTGGTATTTTTTTCAAAACCGATAAAAAAAACAATTATAAAATAACAGTACGATATACTTGTCTACGTATTCTTTATATAAAAATGTAGCAATTACATATGTGTCTACACGTGAAAAGCCTGTTCTCTTTGGCTTTGTTCTTCGTGCGTACAACGATTTCCTTAAAACTCATGAATTCGTTTTCGTATTTTGAACTTAACTGAACTATCAACTTAACTGGCGTACTTCTGCATGTATACTGTATATCTATATATTGAGTAGCTCGCGAACGTGCGACGGAGCACGTTCCCTTTTTTTTTTGTGAACTCTATTACGTGCGGCTATATGATGCGTCCACGGTGAAATTCCCCGAAATCCCGTTATGAAATGACTAAGGTGTTTTTTTGCTTTGCTTTCCTTAGCGTTGTAACATGTTCGATATGTCGAGTCCTTCCACGTTTTTTCTTTGTTCAACGACAATGTCCCCTTACTTCTGACGTCTTCGAACTCGAACGCGATGTCCCGTCAATTCTCTCGTGACGACGATTCTCGTGAAACTGAACTCCGCAATCGTCTGCCTTTTCCTCTATGAGGAAATTAATGATTTTCACCTTCGTGCTGACCGTGACTCGTGAGATTGTCGAGGCGCAGCTACGTTACCGAATACAGCTTATTTTCTCGATATACGTTGCTACGTGAAGTTCGAGCGTTTATCGCCCGCGCGAGTCGAACCATCGTTCTGTAAGCAGTGGCTTTCAATTGGAATTTAGCGAGCGCTCGCAATCGGTACAATTTAGTTGTTCGATGTGGGCTACCTTTCTTTGTCTCTTGGTTAACTTTTTTTTTAGATATACTTATTTATTTAGAGTTTATAAATATATATATATATATATATATATATATATATATCTAATTCCTTTGTTACGCGTGCAATGCGATAAAGACCCTACCTACACGTGCGTTCACCACGTGTACGTACACGTAATCTCCACGTACAGAGTCGCGTCCATACGGGGAAAATTCACAAACATGCACGACCTTTGGTAAAAAGTCACGTCGACCCAAGTACTTCCAAACATAATAGTTATGGGTGTTGTGACGGCTATGGAGATTGTTCGATACTTTTGAAAACAAGTAGATGCGCAACTTTTAATTGGCCAACTGTCTCTTTTACTTTCAGAAGCTGAACATGGCTATGCTTCGTCCATGCCGATACCCGACGATCTGCGGACGGTCATCAAGAGGCCAAAGACGAAAAAATCCCAGGGCAGCAGGTGCGCTTATCTTTATTTGTTTATTTGTTTCCCTCCTATCCTGCACGATTTACAATTTGAATTTTGAATATCTCAAAACGATTTTTCACTCTCGCCTTTCGCGTTCTCTTTGCCAGGACTGTATCCGATTTCTCGTAGCTGCTGTTCCTATAGCTACGCGATATAACTACAGATGCTACGTGTATACATACCCAGGGAGACACACCTAACCTCCATCTTTTTCAGGCGGCCGAAAAGAAACGACTCGTAGTAAATTGTCCGATCTAATATCCAATTTCCTTGGCTCTCTCATTCACCTTCAGAGATTCCTCTTCCTGTCTTCCTTTGTTAGCCGATTTTCTTTTTTATTTCCTTTTTATTTCCCTTTTACTTATCTCTGTCTCCCACACGGGAAGCGCACGGCGAAATCCGCCTATTGTCGCATTGTGGCTACGTGCATAATGGGAGGGAACGGCAATGCGTCGGCAATATCTCCGGTTACTCTTTCGCAACGTACAATTATTTTTACTTTCGAAATCGTGTTCGCCGCGTCAGGTCCTTGACGCCAGTGCAGCTCGTTTCGGTAATCGAACGCTCGGCGCTTATACTTTCGGCCAGTATTACATTCATTTTGACGCAAGGACTTTTAGCTGCTCATAGTAGGATGCCGTTAATCAATTTATTTTGTCACTTTTAATTTGCTTCCGCGTACCTATTACTTTGTTCTCATTACTACGGAAGAAAACTCATCAGTGTACTCTATTTATTATTCAACGTTATTGCGCCTTATTTTTTTTTTTTTTCCTTATTTCCCCTTTGACTTCCCTTGATATATACTCCCTCGGCGGTTATTCACTTAAGATCGTAGAAAGTTGGCGGCGGCTCGTATATTAATGTGTTCCCTCTCTAATTTTTCAGGACTACCCATAACGAGCTGGAGAAAAATAGGTGAGTCCATATTATCGAGACACAAAAATAACAATGGATAAATAATGACGATAGGGTAACACGACGTTGAACCGTAACGCGTCGTTCTTCGTGTCGCGTTACTTAAACAATCAGTCTTTCCTCTTTATCTTCCTTCTGCTTCTTCGCTCCCTCGTTCCAATCCTTTCCACGTTATATTCTCTTTTACAGCTCGATACACGCGAGAATTGGGCGAGTCTCTCCGCTTCTTTCCACTCCCCGTCGTTCCTCTTCTAAATTCCTTTGGTCCTCCAGCCCCCACCACTCAGCCCCTCTCCACCTTCCCCTCGCGGCCTCAACACCGTAACCGCCATAGGGCTTTAAACAGTCATATTCAGCAGGAACTAAAGGCTGCTCTACAACGGTCGGATATTCCGTCTTAACCTTATTCCCGTCGACAAGCTTTAACGTATTCACGAATGAAGCATGTATATAATACACGTCAGAGGATACTAACATAGCAGATAGAAGCGGTACCTATTAATTGGCACGTAACACGCATTACTAATGGGGGTCGAGTCCTTCGGCTACGAGGAAGCTTCAAGGGGGATTTGTGCTAGCAACAAGCGGAACGAAACGGAACGGAACGAAACGGAACGGAACAAAGGTTCTGGATACTCGGGAAGGACCGGATCTGTTCCACGGGGAAAGAAAGACCGGAAAGGAAAGAGTAATAAAAATAATAGAGGCAAAGAAATGGCGGTAACAGTCTGAACTTGGGACTATGGGGAAAGACCTTCGCGTCTCGGGGTCTTTATTGATTTCCCTTTCTCCCTTTAACTAGCCAAATGCCGCTTTGTTTCATTTTTATTAGGGACCTCGCGTGTCTCCCTATTGCGTTCTGATGTTTCGTTCAGGGAACGAGACTCACGGGACACCCGTTACTGGTCACTCGGCCACTTACGTAAGCCAAACGCAACGTGGATGCAACGTGGGCTGATGCCTTTGGCTTATTACATATCTGTATATCTGTATATCTGTTCATATGTGTATATACATATGTATATATATATATATATTCTGTGTATTACTTTATATACGATGCTTATATATGTGAATATCTATATTGCCCTTATGGCCGTATATACAATATATAAAACAGCATATATCAGAGTGTATCCAGAGTATTTACGTACGGCGTTCGAGTCTCGCAGCGTGTAACGCGGATCTCGGCATGCCGGCTATTTTTGACTCCGTGAAGTTGGTACTCACGTGCATACGCAGTGCCGGGAACTGGTCGTTACCTACGCTACGTACGTACGGTTCGCTTCCACAGGAATATTCAAGTTTGGACGTTACGCACAGAGTTTCAGGATGGCGTCGATCACACAGATAACGGCGGTCAGTCGAGTATTTCTCACTGTAACTTCACCGTATCGTCCCTTCCATCTGTCTATTCGTTTCCTCCCCCGTCGGGGAGCCGTCTGCAGTATTTTCCCAATTTTCGAAGCACCTGTGCTCCCTTTCGCTCGGAGACTCGTCGAGCGCGCTCCTTAGGGCTCGTGCAGACCGAAAGCAGCGGGAACCGAGAAGCGAGAAGCGAGCAGCGAGCAGCTCGAAACTTTAGAACAGAGTGGTACCTCTTTCCAACGTACATACGCATAGGCATATTGTGATTGGCCGTGATGTTAAATTGTAACAAGGGAGACTACATGCATGTAACATACAACCAGGCTACACCACGGGCTATACACATTTCGTCTGATGCCGAATTCAAAATTTATTTCAAACATGAATTATGACGTGAGGTAGGGTTGCCATAATCTTTTTGCTATGTCGCTGCTACGGAAAGTTGAACGTTGATCGAATTTCCAAAATCGCAGTCCAAGCATTGGAATCTGCTTAGTAATGAAGTCATGTTTTAAAAAAAAAGATGTATTATTATTTTCAATGTAGTATACTTGGCTCTATGTACGTAATTAAGGCAAATAACTTATTTCTTAATGCTTTCATGCGGTTGCCTAATGTAATAAGGCAGAAAGTGTAGTTTCGCGGCCAAGATTCCGGTGCCCGCTTCCCGCTTCCCGCTTCCCGCTGCTTTCGGTCCGAATGAGCCCTTACGTTCCTGTTTCGAAAATCGTTCGCTCGTGGCACTCGCGCTCTGTAGTTTCTCAATCTCTCTCCTTGTCTTGTTTCTCGCTGTTCGCGTGCGTCCGACGCATCGCGCGCAACGACGGATCCACAGCCCGGGCCTGCGACTATCCGCAGCACGTGAGCCGGGAGGCCATTTTGAAAAGGAGGCCCCGCGCTCACGATTTTCCATATCGCGACGACCGATCGGAGTCACGGGCCGCGAGGAACTCGGCGCACGTACTCGAATAAAGAAAGTCGAATCCCGCTGAGGATATTCGAGGAGATCCTGACTCGATATCCCACGAGTTAGGACTCCTTTCTCAGTCGCGCACATTTTCTACACGCGCAATCGGGATTTACCTTACGTTCTGCGCTGTGTCCCTTTACTCGTTTTTATTTTTTGTCTTTCACTACCGCTAGGGACTTTCCTCGTATCTTTCTTTCTTTCACGTATATATGTATATCTGAATATACAAATACATATATCGACCTGCCCTTAAGCAGATGAGAGAGTAGAATCTCCTGCGCGACGAGAGGACCACGTTCGTCCCACGAGTCTTCTTATCCTGCCGTTTCCCTTTGTCCTTGCTGTCCTCATTTTCCATTGGACCCTTCGTTCCCCGCTAGCCGTTCCGATAAGAAGCCCCTCCCCTC